TAACTATGATGATAACGATAATGATATTGATAATGATAATGATAGCGATAATGAAAGTGATAATGATAATGATAATGATGATTCGAATGATAATGATAGTGATAATGATAATGAGAATGATAATGATAATGCTAAAGATCATGATAATGATAATGACAATGATAATGATAATGATAATGATAATGGTAATGACAATGATAGTGATAATGATAATGGTAATGATAAAGATAAGGGTAAGGATAATGATCATGATGATGATAATGATAATGATAATGACACTGATACTGATACTGATAATGATAATGGTAATGATAATGATTATGATAATGATAATGATCATGATGACGATGATGATAATGATAATGGTAATGGTAATGATAATGCAAACGATAATGATGATGATAATGATAGTGATCATGCTGATGATAATGCGAATGGCAACGGTAATGCTAATAACAATGATAATGACAATGGTAATGACAATGATAATGACAATGATAATAACAATGAGAATGACAATGATAAGTATAATGGCAATGGCAATGACAATGACAATGACAATGATAATGCTAATGCGAATGCCAATGACAATGATATTGATAATGCTAATGATAAACGTAACGATAGTGATAATGATAATGAGAGTGCTAATGATAATGATAATGCTAAGGATAGGGATAATGAGAATGGCAACGATCATGTAATTGATAATCATGCTGACAATGAGAATGATGATGATGACAATGATTAGGATTATGATCATGATTATGATTATGATTATGACCATGCTTATGATTATGAGTATGGTTACGATTATGATCATGATAGTAACAACAATGATAATTACAATGATAATGATAATGATAATGATAATGTTCATTGTAATGATAATGATAATGTTGATACTGATAATTGTAAAGATAAGAATAATGATCATATAAAGATAATGATAATGATAATCGTACTGATAATGATAATGAAAAGGATAATGATAACGATAATGATAACGATAATGATAATGATAAATGATATTGGTAATGGTACTGATAATGTTACTGATAATAATCATGATAATGACAATAATAATGGTAATGGTAAGGATGAAGATAGTGAGAATGATAATAGTAAAGATAAGAACAATAATAATGATGCTGATGATGATGATGATGGTGATGGTGATGGTGATGGTGATGGTGATAGTGATGGTGATGGTGAGGGTGATAGTGATGATGATGGTGATGATGGTGATGATGGTGGTGATGGTGGTGATGATGGTGACGATGGTGATGATGGTGATGATACCGGTTCAAAACCCCCCCTCGAAAACCGGGGGGGGTCACTACTGGTTCGACCCCCGCCCCTCGAAAACAGGGGGGGTCACTACCGGTTCGAACCCCCCCCTCCCCCCTCGCCGCCGGCAAACTATTCCCGCTCCCTGGGACAGTTGGACAATGGTGGGGATGCTGGGACAGTGGTGGGAACGGTGGTGGTGAGGACAGTGGTGCGGGGACAGAGGGACAGTGGTGCGGACAGTGGTAGGGACGGTGGTGGTGGGGACAGTGGTGAGGGGACAGCGGGACAGTGGTGGGGACAATGGGACAATGGTGGGGACGGTAGTGGTGGGGACAGTGGTGAAGGCGGTGGTGAGGACAGTGGTGGGACAGTAGTACAGTGGGGAAAGTGGTGGGGACAGTGGGGACAGTGGGGACAGTGGGACAGTGATGGGGACAGTGGGGACGGTGGCACAGAACAGTGAAACAACGTCGGGGACGGTGGGACAGTGGTGGTCTCAGTGGGGACAGTGGAACACTGGTGGGGGCCGTGGGGAAAATGGGGAGTGGGACCGTGGTAGGACAATGGTGGGGAGAGTGGGGACAGTGGGACACTGGTGGGGGCACTGGTGGGGACAGCGGGGACAATGGTGGGAACAGTGGGGACAGTGGGACAGTGGTGGGGACGGTGGTGGTGGGGACAGTGGTGTGGGGACAGTGGGAATGTGGTGGAAACAGTGGGACAGTGGAGGGTACAGTGGTGGTGGGGACAGTGGTGAGGCGGTGGCGAGGACGGCGGTGGGACAATGGGACAGAGGTACAGTGGGGACAGTGGCGGGGACAGTGGGGACAGTGGTGGGAACAGTGGGACAGCTCAGTGGGACAGCGGCGCGGGACAGTGGGACAGTGGGGACAGTGGGACAGTGGTTGGGGCCGTGGAGAAAGTGGGGAGAGTGGAACCGTGGTGGGAACAGTGGTGGGGACAGTGGGGACAGTGCGACAGTGGTGGGGGCACTGGTGGGGACAGTGGGGACGGTGGTGGGAACAGTGGGGACAGTGGTGGTGAGGACAGTGGTGCTGGGGCAGCAGTGGGGGATGTGGTGCGGACGGTGGTAGGGACCCGGGAGTCGTTTGCTGGCGGTGAGCGTGGGGGGGGGAGGGGTTCGAACCGGTAGTGACCCCCCTCGGTTTTCGAGGGGGGGGGGGTTCGAACCCGTAGTGACCCCCCCGGGTTTTCGAGGGGGGAAGGGGGATGGGAGGGGTTCGAACCGGTAGTGAACCCCCCCCCCAGATTTCAGGAGGGGGGGGGGAGGGGTTCGAACCGGTAGTGACCCCCCCCCCCCCAAATTTCCAGAGGGGGGGGGAGGAGGGGTTCGAACCGGTAGTGACCCCCCTCTGGTTTTCTGGAGGGGGAGGGAGGGAGGGGTTCGAACCGGTAGTGACCCCCCCCCCGGTAAGGATCCCCCCGGTAGTGAACCCCGGTTGTCCCGAGAGGGGGGGGGGGAGTCGAGAACCCCCTGCAGGACGGCCCCGACGAGTGACGGAGGACGGCGACGCCCGTGTCGCCGTGGCGGCTCAAGGCCGACCGCACGGCGCGCGGCCCGGGCGGGCGCGCGCGGGCCCGAGGGCCCGATCGAGGCACACCGAGGGCGCTTCGGAGAGGGAAAGGATCCCTCGCGACTTGGTAGCGGAGCCTCGGTCCACGGCGCGGCATCGAGGTGCCGCACGGTGCGCCGTTGGACTGCATCGAGGTGCTGGACGTCCACGGCGCAGACTACGTACTCTTCTCGACCTTCACTGCGCGAACAGCTTCGCCGCCTACGAAGGCATCATCAGCGCCTACACCCGGCCAGAACACGTTCACTGACGAAGATATCCGATTGGAAAGATGGAGCACCTCCAGCTGGAGGTCATGGGCAGCCGGAAGGTGTCACCGGCGTGGAGCCCCGAGCAGGATCGGCAGTACCCCTTCAGGTTCTGGCTCACGGACGTGACTATGTGGGCGGCGGCTGCGGCGAGAGAGGTCCTACCTGAACGACAAGCGCCTGCAGTCGCCCTTCGCCTTGGAGGAGCAGCACGGAGCTTGGCGCGAGAGATACCGCAGGAACAGCTACGAGACGGTGCCATTGCTGATCCAGGCGACGGGCAAGGCGCACGACAACTATCAGGGCTTCAGCTATTACTCTTGGTGTTGTCGAAGTCTTTCGCCCCGCTTGGCGACGAGAGCGAGAGCAGAGCGACCAGCGACCTGCTAGGCTTTTACAGAAAGATGCACGAGAGTATTGACCAGACGTTGGGCAGGTTCGAGGTTACACGACATCGAGCAGCGGCCCTGGGAGGATTTCAGATGGGAGCTCAAGGCTAAGAGGGGATGTTGATGGATGTAGCCCGTCCGAGTGGAACGAGTTGCTGATACATTTCAGAGGCCGCTTACCTCGGACGGAACAACGCTTCAACGAGTTCGTGGAAAACGTACGGCGATATGGACACGTGTTGGAGAAGGGCCCGATGTCGGTGAACCGTCATGCAAAAGGTAAGGGCACGGGCAATTCAAGAAACAGATCAGGACGAAGAGCCCCACCCCGGAGGAAGCATGGCGGCAGGAGCTTACCAGTCGGGACAATCATCGAGCTGGACACCCACGACCTCGTGGACGCCTACGTCACCGCCGCCGGATCCGTGGCAAGGATACCTCAACAACAGCGGACAGGACGACGACAACGACACGGACACGGATAAGGATGATGGCGAGGACCTGGACGGATCAGACTTCCCCGGGCAGATGGGCAAAGACGACGACGTTATTCGGCAGTATTTGTACCGTACCAGAACTATGTGTTCCACAAGAAGCACTGACGGCGCTTCACCGGGAGGCCCACCAGGTACCAGCGATTCGGCAAGGGCAAGAATGGAAAAGGATCATTAATACCGTTTCGTGGTGGTGGTGTCTTCGGCCAGCGACATCAAGGCGGCAAAGGATACCACTTCGAAGGAAAAGGGCGGCGCAATCCTATGGGACGCGACGGCAAAGTCATGAAGTGCCTGACGAAGGGTTGCGAGAGCGAGTTCCACCTGGTCAAGGATTGCCCCCATCGGCAAGGACAAGGAAAAGGAGGCAAAGGATCGTTTGTCACTAACGGACCGCGACCTGTATCGGGAGCAGGACAGTATGTACCTTGGTTCGGTTTCAACACTGGACAGACGGCGAGTTCGGGAACTACATTGTTGGTGGTTGCTCCAGTCAGTTCGCCGGCTTTCGGATCGGGATCTGCGAGCTTCTACGCGTTGGAGGCAAAGAAGAGCGACCAGAGCGACGACAGCACGATCAAGCACAGCGCGAGCGTGGAGGGCTCCAGAGGCTTCACAGGTGTGGTCATCGCACCGGCGGCTCCCAAGGCGATCGAGGACTACCAGCCGGAAGAACAGGGATCGAGACCAATGACCCACGACATGGAGCCCCCGACTGGTACAGAAGCAAGTTCTTCGTCGAGTAGCGGACCAGCCTTTCCGTTGATTCCGATGCCAACATACAGCTCAATGGTGGCGAAGATCGGCGGACTATGATACGCGGAGTTTCAAGCGACCCTGTCCAAGATCAGCGAGATGACGGCCACATCGAACGCGACGCCTATCGGACAGCCCTTTGGTCTGGAGCACATACTGGAACTGTCTTCGATCACGGTTTCGAAGAAGACCGACGAGGACGAGAGGCAGCGTCGGAGTCATCAGCGACCGAGACCGAGGACAAGGAGGTGCAGGACGTGCCGGCCATCAACGTTGGAGGCTTGTCTTTCAGCCCAGTGCCTGGAAAAGCTCAGATGACCACCCCAGTGAGCATCAGCAGTGGTACTCACGGTTCGATGGCGAGCTGGGATCGCATTGCAAGCAACCCTGGAAGCGCGACGGAGCCTACCGTGGAAGCAGAAAAGCAGATCGACCTCTCGACCTTCGATCCGGAGACCGAGGAATACTTCTGGCCCGGACGTCAAGGACAAGATGCGACTGAGCATGACGAGAAGCCTTACTGGGACCCAGTCGCCAACGAGTCGAACAAGAAGCCCTTCTCGCACGATGAACACGACGACGATCTCGAGCGAGTGGAGCACGACGACGACACCATGAAGGACGCCGACAAGAAGGACGAGAATGCTGGCGGCGTCGACTTCAGCAACAACGGCGACTTCAACGGCGTGGTCTGGACGTTGGACGTTGAGAGCAAGGAGCACTACCTAGGCCACGAGCGCACGAGGCTAGACGGTGGCGAGATGGGCATCTTGGTAGATCCAGGCGCACATGGCAATCTCGTTGGAGAAAGCTGGGCACGACAACAAGCAGAGAAGGCCAAGCAGTTCCAGCACGCTACCGAGGATCCGCACTTCGAGAGCCGTTGGAGGTCAACGGTGTTGGAAAAGGACCTGACTATTGTCATCACCAATGGAGAACCCCCATCGGCACGCAGGAGATACATCAGGAAAACGACAGCACCGGCAACCTGGACACCTACACGGCCCCGATAATTCCTGGAAGCGACGTGCCAGCGCAGTTGGGAAATAGTTCATTGAAGAAGCTCGACGCGATCATCGAGTGCGGCCCCGGTATTCTACACCTATGTGGGCCAGGACGTCGCGAACTTGTTCTACCAGCGGGCACGCGCAGCTACAACCTGAAGGAGAGCAGGAGCGGACATTGGCTGCTACCATGTTCGAGATTCAAACAAGCAGCTTCGTCAAGTAGTACAGGACATCCAATTGATCGTTTGCAGCCTCAAGCAGAGCACCTGGATTTTGTGTGGAATGCGTTCCGAAAAGAGATGAGTGGAATGGGCCTGACACTCAACAGCACGTCGGATTTGTACGCCGAGTGTCGCGGACATGTTGAGCAGAAGAGTTGGAATGGCTTTCAGCACTCACTGAAGAAGCACGGCATCCACACGGAGTGCACCCCCAGCAAGAAGTGGGCAAGCATCAAGCAGATCTTCAGCGAGAAGAAGCCCGAGAAGGAGGTGAGCTTCGGAGAATTCGAGGTGCTGACGAACCCGGCAATTTCCTCGAGATCTGCCTGAGGGCGCAGGGCTCCAGCCGCGGCGGCCGGGGCAGCTGCCGAACGCCGTTCGGCGACGTCGCATCATGTTCAAGTTCTTGACCACCGATTGGGTTCGGCTATTACGATGCGCGCGGCACGAGGAGGATGGCCGATCACGCAGGTGAATGGCCTACGACCAGGTAATAGGCAAGGAGGCGCGAGAGCTCAAACGACACCTCACCGAAGGACATTTCCAGCTACTGTGGGCAGATCTTCCAGGACGTCGAGGAATTGAGCGAGGACAGCGACCACAACAGCGACTGCGACTTCTTGAAGACTGCACCAGGGCACAAATCGCTGGGAACGGAGATATCATGCTAGTTGCTGAGCGTGGCAGCTCTATGTGGGCGGACCCTACTGTGCTGAGGCTCAGGAAGGATGTGCCCCACGAGGTAGAAATACATTGGTGTTCTTTCGATATGCAGTCTCTGCCGGACGAATCAGGCGAACGAGGATGGAGTGATCGAGTTGATCGTGTTCAATCGTCTTTTCCGATTCAAGCTCGACCATGCCAATGCCAAGGAAAAGGACGCAGACACAAAAATGATTGGAAGAGTTCGTCTGGAAGTGATCAACGAAAGCAGCAACGAGACGAGCAGCACATGAACTACCTGGTGGCGATGTTTCGGGAGATCAACGACGCCCTCTTGATCGAGGGTAACCGTTCACCACCAGAGTCGAGAAGAGAAGATACGGCAAGAAACACGGAAGACCCAGACGAGAACTCCTACCCGACAGATGCCAGGACGACGACTACGTTATCCTGTTCGTCGAGGAGGAGTTCTACGACAGCAACAGATACGCATCATGTCTACACGAAGTGGCCGGAGACGACGGAGCTAAGTGGTACGAAGGACCTGGAGTCAGGAAGGCAGCCAGATTATCACATCTGGTGGCGTACCTTATGCAGGCCGCTTCGGACATGGACGTTTTGGAGATTTGTGGTGGAAGAGGCTATGTCAGCCGCATTTGTGTGAGAAGGAAATGCCGAGTTGGACCCAACTTCGACATAGTACGCGGAGCAGACCTGACAGAACCCAACGAGCAGTGGACATTGTGGCAATACCTGGAGCGTGGAGTTATGGTTGTGATCATGACACCTCCCTGCACGCCTTACGGACGCTTCTGGTCAATGCACAGGACAGCTGGATGGAGAGCTACAGGCGCTGCAGGCCACTTGCGATGCTGTGTGGAGAAGTGGCTTTGTATCACCTTCGAAATTATAAAGCGTTTCTCAATGAAAACCCAGCAGGATCGAAGTTGTATCAAGAGCCACCTTGGCGAAAAGTGGCACGCTATCCTGGAGTTGTTTACGCAATACGAGGTTTGCTTCAGAAGAAGAGAACGGAGTTATGGGCATCCGACGAGGCTTTGTTGCGACACGTGGTCGATTTCCAATGCGACGGAAGCCATGTACACGACACGATCGAGGGGCGAGAAGCGACAGCGAGTGCGAGACTTTGGCCATGGAGATTTGCAGTTGCTATCGCCAATGGTGCGACGGATTACTTATCGGAGAAGCGGAACGAGGAGGTCAAGGCGTACATGCAGAACGTGGCAGCTTATCCAGGAGCGGCAGCAGCAGCTCCACTGGAGGAGCAAGGGCCTTGGGTACCTCCTTGGGACCCCCGCAGGAGGTTGGTCGAGAAGACGGACGGCGGGACTGTTCAGGCGCCGGCACCTCTGGCGCCTGCCGCAGCGGCCCCAGCGGCGCCAGAGGCCGCCATCAGGCCGCCGCATCCCAAGTCACGACTGGCGCGAGTACGCGAATGGAAGTGCAGAGCTTGTAACGGCGCCCACGTTTCGCACTCACGGATACCTGGAGAATGCAGGATTGCTACGCCTGGAGTTCGGACATGGAAGTGCAAGCAGTGTATGCATGGCAAGCCTGAAGATGGACCTGGACATACTCTTGTGGCTGGCCAGTGCCGGTGGGCTACCGAGATTGGCCAGAGACCAGCCGGAGGAGGACGCCGACAGTCACGAGCAGCAGCTAACGATCCAGCACCAGGAGCAGAAGTAACGAGACCCGATGGAGTGATGGGCGCAGCAGACGTTCCAGATGGAAGTGAACGACCTCAGGTGCCAAACCCCCCAGCACCACCAGAAGCAGATCGAGGTATGGACGCAGATTGGTCTAGTTGGGATCTGGGCTCGGCGAGGCGTGCAATCTTCAGCAACAACGAGTCAGTGTCGCGCAGGGTATTGCGACGGCTACACCTGCGCTGGTTCCACGCCAACAAGAAGGCGATGAAGAGGATGCTGAAGGCCGGAGGTGTACCGCCGAAGGTGTTACAGCTCGTGGACGATGTTGTCGACACCTGCCGAGTATGCAAATTGTGGATGAAGAACGGCACCAAGGCGACCACAACCGTCAAGCTTAGCATACAGTTCAACGACGAGGTGCAGTTGGATTTGTTATTTTATGAACGTCGTGTGGCTGGTCACCTTTGTGATGATCTGGACCGGCTGGAGACAGGTTTTTGGCCCGATGGCAGTATTGACGGTTGACGGCGAGGGAGCTATGGCGTCTGAGGAAGTTGGTGCTGCCCTGGGCCGTATGGGTACCACGCGGAAGCTCAAGGCTCCAGGACAACACGCCCAGATCGTTGAACTTCATCAAGACATTTTGAGGAAGCAGTTACACCTCATCGACGCCGCTCTCAGAGAATGTGGAATCAAGATTCCGTTCACCAGGAGGCTGGCCAAGGCCACGTTCGCCAAGAACGCCTTCCTGAACATCGGCGAGGGCACGCCATACAAGGCGCTGTATCGACGCGTGCCGCTGATGCTCAGGGACTTCGACAGGAGCGGCGCTCAGGAGATCGATGATGAGGATGGGCTGGCTATGTTCAGATATTCCCAGAGGCTTCGTGAGATAGCTACAGCGTCCATCATCGAGGCGACTGCCCAGGCCAGAACGGAGCGAGCAGCGAAAGCGAGGACGGGGCCGGTGGCCGAAGATCTACAGCTGGAAGTTGGCGATCTCGTGGACTTTTACAAGCAGGCCAAAGCGCCGAAGGACGTGCCCAACTGGCAGGGACCGGCCAAAGTTGCATCAGCGTCAGCACCGGAGACGGGCACGATTACGGTACACAGGCAGGGAAGAGATCTGATTGTTAACGTTCCAGATGTGCGACGTGCGATCTCGTACAGCTATGCGGTGTCCTTCATGACTGTCGACAGCGACCCGGCCATCATATTGCTGGACTTCATGCACAACATTGGAGAAGGATTTGAGCATCTGGGCTGGGCGAGCACTTCGGCAGGATGGACGCTGACACGCACGTCGAGGAGATACCCCATTGTCGTATCGGCTATGTTGCAAGAGGCTTCGAGTGGTCTGCACATCAATGGTTGCGTGGCAGCTCGAGTTGGTAGGAAGGCACCTACGCTGCCTGGTCTTCACGACTTCGAATATTATACGATGTGCTGGTGGACCGCGAGACGACAAGGTAGGGGAGATTCTGGAGTGGAGGCAATGTGTTATGGAGAGGGTGTTGCAGCGGAACATGTCAGTCTTTGCCACATCTTCGGAGAGAAAAAATGAAGTTCTTATTATTTCATGCAGTTCTTGACTGTGGAGCCCGACGTGCTGGATGCGATACAAGAACAGGCACCACAAATTCCACACATTGGAGGGCCTCACCTGCCCAGAGTTGTCGCGTGGAGAATGCAACACCGACCGATAGGCAAGAGAACCCGATCAGCAGGATCACAAGCTTCGGAGAACCCTAAAGAACACATCGCCCGGAGACTGGAAGACGATCCGCCAGAACCACCACCTGGTCTTCCAGTCCCTGAAGAAGCTCCGGCAGCAGCAGCAGTCGAAGAACAGCCAGCAGAAGAAGTAGAGCCGGAGAATGACCTTCTCAGCGTGGAGGCGTTATGGGCGATACCGAAGGAGGTCAGTGGCATTCCCACTGAGACGGACGAGGACAACTTCATGGACATGATCTGCTACCTCACCGAGGAGACAGACACGTCAGTGATCGACCGAAGCGAGGTGATCAAGGATTACGATATTACGGAGGCGTGAGTTGCGCAGGACATCAACCGCGGCAAGATGACCGACGAGGTGACAGAGTCCTTGCAACCCGAGAAGGTGATGCAGATTGGCTTCTCAGCGGAGGCATGGAAGATACTTCGCGAATCACGTATCATGGGAGATCCCGAACATGAAGACGACGTTGTTGTTATTAGTTTCTAAGAGGATTGTTCGGACAAAGCAGTGATCGAGGGAGACGACAGCGTGTTGACCCCAGCAAAGAAGATCGAACATCAAGAAGCAGTTCGTGCAGCACGTATCAAAGAATTGCGAGACTTGGCTGGATTCAAGGCGATGTCGAGGAGAGGACGGAAGTTGGCCAGGAACCTCATAAATGCGAAGGGGGTCGACAAGTGGAAGTGGACGCAAGCAGCGGACGGTACAATGGCGAGGATTATCCGTTGTCGGCTCACTGTTCGTGGATTCAAGGACAGGCATAAGGACGAGGTCAAGACGTTCACGGCGACGAGTGCCAGATGGGGACAGAGAATGGTGAACATCCTGGCGGCACAACATCGGTGGAAATTGTGTAATTTGGATATCTCTTCGGCTTTTCTTCAGGGAATGACTGTCGAGGAGGTGGCGAAGTTGCTCAACGAGCCGGTCAGAGACATATGCTTCGAATTGACGAAAGGAACAGCCCAACTGTTGTGCGAGGTGGAAGGTTTTGAGGGTTTCAACCCTATGCTTGAGGTGCTACATATGGATAAAGAAGGTTTCGGACTCAACGACGCGCCCCGGCTATTGGTCTACGCCGAGATCAAGTGTTGCTATCATGCGGGCTACGACCAACTCATGCAGATCCCCAACTTTGGTTGAAGCATTCCGAGAGAGTCTTGGTGATGATGGCTTCCACGCACTTGGACGATTTGAAATATACTGGCACTGATAAGGCGACAGGCGATATGATCACAGCATTGGAGGCACGATTCGACAAAACGACAATGAGTGAAAGGAATTTCGTTCACTGTGGACTTGGCCACAGACAGCTTGAGGATATGGGTATCGAGGTGGATCAAGTCGAATACATCAAGAACTTGAATTATATTGACGAGAAGGAGCTTCAAGGCAGGAGTGACGACGACGATCCACCCTAGAAGGACGTGAAGCCTTTTACCTCGCTGTTGGGCGCTATCGCTTGGTGTATTATGACGAGAATAGACATATGTATTTATGTGGCTGCTCTACAGCGTCATGGGAAGGCCCCCAAGGTCAGACACATCAGAAAGATGCACATTCCCTTGAAGTACATGAAGGAGCAACCCTTGTCATTGGTATCGAGGCAGTCGGAGCTGCCAGTGAAGCTTATTGCGGTTGGAGACGCTGCGTTCCGACGCGAACCGGACGACAAGGGCTTGGCCACGCGTGGAGCAGTTTACCTTCTGATCGGGGCAAAGGAGCAAAGGAGGAGATCGGAGGCAGGTGCAACGTGTTGGAGTATTATGCGAGGAAGCAAGCACACGTTGTACGATGGACCTGGGGAGCTGAGTTATGTCAGTTATCAGACTGCTGTGATTGTTTAGTGTTGCTCGCTGGTTTCTTGACGGAGATACAAACAGGAGAGCTCACATCGAGACAACTTCGCGACATGGTCGAAGGCAGCGAGAATTCTGTGACACCATCGGTGGAGCTGGAGGCCTGCGTGGATGCGCAGAGTGTTTTCAGTGGCGTCACGGCCGAACAGGTGCGTATACCAGCCGAGAAACACACGCTATATCACGCACTATGGATACGCGAACTGTTGGACAGAGCAATTCTCAGCCGGCTGTGGTGGATTGATACACGAGATTGTTGCGCCGACGGGCTCACAGAAGGAGCAGTTCTACGAGATGCACTGAGGTGTGCCGCACGCGGCGAGTGGAAGGTTTTACTCCCGGCTATCCCATGGAAGTCTTCCGGAAGAGTGCTCCAGGGCAGCAGCTCGAGTTGAGCACCGAGGAGATGATCGTAGGCTACATATATGGTGAGATGGGCACTGGCGATGCAGGTGCCTAGGCGACGGAGGTCGTGATGGAGCCAGGACGCATTCGTTGCCACCAGGCCGACCTCTCCTGTGCCAAGTCGGCCTGAGGTCGAGCCTAGGCTTGCCGCACGAGCTCGGAAGCACATGCATGATGGACACGACTGTGAAGACAGATCGCTTCGTGCATTACGTCTTGCTTGTGGTGTTCGATGCGATATCCTGGTTGTGGACCGATTTCGTGCCAGAAATCCACGAGCGCGACACGTTCACCACCAGAGTCGAGAACCCCCTGCAGTCGGGGGGGGGGGACCCCCAGGTTCCGGAGAAAGAGGGGGGGGGGAATTTTCCACAGTAAAGCGGCGGTGGATCACGCTCTCTCGATGATGATGATGATAAGGCTGACGCTGTTAATGATAACGGCAATTGTAACGGTAACGGTGAGGGTAATGGTAATGGTGGTAATGGTAATGGTAATGGTAATGGTAATGGTAATGGCAGTAATGGTAATGGTAATGGTAATGGTAATGGTAATGGTAATGGTAATGGTAATGGTAATGGTAATGGTAATGGTAATGGTAATGGTAATGGTAATGGTAATGGTAATGGTAATGGTAATGGTAATGGTAATGGTAATGGGTAATGGTAATGGTAATGGTAATGGTAATGGTAATGGTAATGGTAATGGTAATGGTAATGGTAATGGTAATGGTAATGGTAATGGTAATGGTAATGGTAATGGTAATGGTAATGGTAATGGTAATGGTAATGGTAATGGTAATGGTAATGGTAATGGTAATGGTAATGGTAATGGTAATGGTAATGGTAATGGTAATGGTAATGGTAATGGTAATGGTAATGGTAATGGTAATGGTAATGGTAATGGTAATGGTAATGGTAATGGTAATGGTAATGGTAATGGTAATGGTAATGGTAATGGTAATGGTAATGGTAATGGTAATGGTAATGGTAATGGTAATGGTAATGGTAATGGTAATGGTAATGGTAATGGTAATGGTAATGGTAATGGTAATGGTAATGGTAATGGTAATGGTAATGGTAATGGTAATGGTAATGGTAAATGGTAATGGTAATGGTAATGGTAATGGTAATGGTAATGGTAATGGTAATGGTAATGGTAATGGTAATGGTAATGGTAATGGTAATGGTAATGGTAATGGTAATGGTAATGGTAATGGTAATGGTAATGGTAATGGTAATGGTAATGGTAATGGTAATGGTAATGGTAATGGTAATGGTAATGGTAATGGTAATGGTAATGGTAATGGTAATGGTAATGGTAATGGTAATGGTAATGGTAATGGTAATGGTAATGGTCATGGTATGGTCATGGTATGGTCATGGTAATGGTCATGGTAATGGTAATGGTCATGGTCATGGTAATGGTAATGGTAATGGTAATGGTAATGGTAATGGTAATGGTAATGGTAATGGTAATGGTAATGGTAATGGTAATGGTAATGGTAATGGTAATGGTAATGGTAATGGTAATGGTAATGGTAATGGTAATGGTAATGGTAATGGTAATGGTAATGGTAATGGTAATGGTAATGGTAATGGTAATGGTAATGGTAATGGTAATGGTAATGGTAATGGTAATGGTAATGGTAATGGTAATGGTAATGGTAATGGTAATGGTAATGGTAATGGTAATGGTAATGGTGGTAATGGTAATGGTAATGGTAATGGTAATGGTAATGGTAATGGTAATGGTAATGGTAATGGTAATGGTAATGGTAATGGTAATGGTAATGGTAATGGTAATGGTAATGGTAATGGTAATGGTAATGGTAATGGTAATGGTTAATGGTGGTAATGGTGGTAATGGTAATGGTAATGGTTAATGGTAATGGTAATGGTAATGGTAATGGGTAATGGGTAATGGTAATGGTAATGGGAATGGGAATGGTAAATGGTGATGGGAATGGGAATGGGAAATGGAAATGGAATGGTAATGGTAATGGTAATGGTAATGGTAATGGCAATGGTAATGGCAATGGTGGCAATGGCAATAATGGCATGGCAATGGTATATCATGGTAATGGTAATGGTAATGGTAATGGTAATGGTAATGGTAATGGTAATGGTAATGGTAATGGTAATGGTAATGGTAATGGTAATGGTAATGGTAATGGTAATGGTAATGGTAATGGTAATGGTAATGGTAATGGTAATGGTAATGGTATGGTAATGGTAATGGTAATGGTAATGGTAATGGGTCAGGTAAATGGTAATTGAAATGGTATGGTAATGGTAATGGTAATGATAATGGTAATGGTAAGTGTAGTGGTGAGCGTACTGGTAATGGTAATTGTAATTGTAATGGTAATGGTAATGGTAATGGTAATGGTAATGGTAATGGTAATGGTAATGGTAATGGCAATGGCAATGGCAATGGCAATGGCAATGGCAATGGTAATGGTAATGGTAATGGTAATAATAATGGTAATGGTAATGGTAATGGGAATGGGAATGGGAATGGTAATGGTAACGGTAATGGTAATGGTAATGGTAATGGTAATGGTAATGGTAATGGTAACGGTCTATGGTACTGGTAATGGTAAGGTAATGCATGGGAAAATGGAACATGGTAATGGTATGGTAATGGTAATGGTAATGGCAATGGTAATGTCATGGTCATGGTCCTGGTCATGGTGCATGGTCATGGTCCATGTAATGGTAATGGTAATGGTAATGGGTAATGGTAATGGTAATGTAAGTATGGTAAGGTAATGGTAATGTAATGGTAATGGGTCATGGTCATGGCCATGGCCATGGCCATGGCCATGGTCATGGTCCATGGTCATGGTCATGGTCTGGTCATGGCCATGTGTAATGGTGATGGTAGGGTAATGTACTGGTAATGGCAATGTAATAGGTAATGGTATTGGTAATGGGGTAATGGTAATGGTAATGGTAAATAGTAAATGGTAATGGTAAGGTAATTGTAATGGGACTGGTAATGGTAATGGTAATGTAATGTAATGGTAATGGTACTGTAATGGTTATGTCATGTCATGGTCTGTCATGGTCATGGTCATGGTCATGGTCATGGTCATGGTCATGGTCATGGTCATGGTCATGGTCATGGTCATGGTCATGGTCATGGTCATGGTCATGGTCATGGTAACGGTAACGGTAACGGCAACGGTAACCGTAAGTGTAACGGTAACGGTAATGGTAACGCTAATGGTAATGGTAATGGTAATGGTAATGGTAATGGTAATGGTAGTGGTAATGGTAATGGTAATGGTAATGGTAATGGTAATGGTAATGGTAATGGTAATGGTAATGGTAATGGTAATGGTAATGGTAATGGTAATGGTAATGGTAATGGTAATGGTAATGGTAAAAATAATGGTAATGGTAATGGTAATGGCAATGGTAATGGTAATGGTAATTGTAATGGTAATGGTAATTGTATGGGAATGGGAATGGGAGTAGGAATGGGAATGGGAATGGTAAGGGTAATGGTAATGGTAATGGCAATGGGAATTGGAATGGTGATGGTAAGGGTAATGGTAATGGTAATGGCAATGGGAATTGGAATGGTGATGGTAATGGCAATGGCAATGGTAATGGTAATGGTAATGGTAATGGTAATGGGAATGGGAATGGTACTGGTACTGGTACTGGTACTGGTACTGGTACTGGTACTGGTACTGGTACTGGTACTGTTATTGGTACTGGTACTGGTAATGGTAATGGTAATGGTAATGGTAATGGTAATGGTAATGGTAATGGTAATGGTAATGGTAATGGTAATGGTAATGGTAATGGTAATGGTAATGGTAATGGTAATGGTAATGGTAATGGTAATGGTAATGGTAATGGTAATGGTAATGGTATAATGGTAATGGTAATGGTAATGGTAATGGTAATGGTAATGGTAATGGTAATGGTAATGGTAATGGTAATGGTAATGGTAATGGTAATGGTAATGGTAATGGTAATGGTAATGGTAATGGTAATGGTAATGGTAATGGTAATGGTAATGGTAATGGTAATGATAATGGTAATGGTAAGTGTAGTGGTGAGCGTACTGGTAATGGTAATTGTAATTGTAATGGTAATGGTAATGGTAATGGTACTGGTACTGGTACTGGTACTGGTACTGGTAATGGTAATGGTAATGGTAATGGTAATGGCCATGATCATGGTCATGGTCATGGTCATGGTAATGGTAATGGTAATGGCAATGGCAATGGCAATGGCAATGGCAATGGCAATGGCAATGGTAATGGTTATGGTAATGGTAATGGTAATGGTAATGGTAATGGTAATGGTAATGGTCATGGTCATGGCCATGGCCATGGCCATGGCCATGGTCATGGTCATGGTCATGGTCATGGTCATGGTCATGGCCATGGTATGGTAATGGTAATGGTAATGGTAATGGTAATGGTAATGGTAATGGTAATGGTAATGGTAATGGTAATGGTAATGGTAATGGTAATGGTAATGGTAATGGTAATGGTAATGGTAATGGTGATGGTGATGGTGATGGTAATGGTAATGGTAATGGTAATGGTAATGGTAATGGTAATGGTAATGGTAATGGTAATGGTAATGGTAATGGTAATGGTAATGGTAATGGTAATGGTAATGGTCATGGCCATGGTCATGGTCATGGTCATGGTCATGGTCATGGTCATGGTCATGGTCATAGACATGGTCATGGTCATGGTCATGGTCATGGTGACGGTAATGGTAATGGTGACGGTAATGGTAATGGTGACGGTAATGGTAATGGTAATGGTAATGGTAATGGTAATGGTAATGGTAATGGTAATGGTAATGGTAATGGCAATGGTAATGGCAATGGCAATGGTACTGGTACTGGTACGGTCAGGGTGTCAATGATGCTGACTGTGGAAAAGGAAATGGTAATGGTGAGGTGTGCAAGTGGTGGTCGTGGCTGTGACGGATATGAAGGTAATGTTGGCGTTCATGGCGGCCATGGTGAGCATGGTGATGATTACGCTGCTGGTATTAATTATGGGCAGGGCGCTCATCAAGTTGTTTGCGTTGATGTGTGACATTGTTTATGATGTCCGTGCGGTTGCTGGTGCACACGGCGTGCTGATGTGCAAGGCGTTGATGATGCTCAGTGTGTTCGTTTGTTGTTAGAACGGTCACGATGATGATTGCTATGATTTTGCTGGTGCGAATAGTGGGCACAGCGATAATGAAGATGATGATGGTGGTGATGGTGCTCATGATGTTGACGGTATTGAGGTACTGATACCTTGCACAGCACTGGTGGTATCGATGGTGTTCGTGAGCGCCAAGGTGGTCATGGTGCTGATTGCGCTGGAGGTGTTCCTGGTGATCACGGTGGGCAGGGCGGTGATGAATGTGACGGTGCTGGTGATGCTGGTAAAATGGGTGGTGTGCACTGCGTTCACGATGCTGATGTCCTTAATGCTGCTCCTGGTGTTCATAGCGCACGTGGTGTTCAATGTGGTCATGGTGCCCATGGTGCCAATGTCGGTAATTGCGCTCCTGGAGCCAACGCAGTTCCAAACCACGCATATGCTCACGGCAATTCAGCCCGCGCGGGGATCCACGTTCCAATGGGCTCGTAGCCGAACATATCACACTGTTAGCGGCATCAGTGTCGTGATTCGACTGGCGATGCCGTCCTGCCAAAATCAACCTTGAGACATCATGGCTACGGACACTCCTCCCCCTCCTGGTCCGCTTCCTGCTGCTGCTGCTGCTGCTCCTTATCCTCATCTTCCTTCTCCTTCTCCTCCTCCTCCTCCTCCTCATCCTCCTCCTCCTCCTCCTCCTCTTGCTCCTCCTGCTTCTCCTCCTCCTCCTCCTCCTCCTCCTCCTCCTCCTCCTCCTCCTCCGCCTCCTGGTCCTCCTCCTTCTCCTCCTCCTGTTACTCCTCCTCCTCTTCCTCCATCCTCCCCCTCCCCCTGCTCCTAATCCCCATACCCCTCCTTCAACCCGCCACTCTCGTCATCCCTCATTCCGTTCCCCCTTTCCCCTCTTCCATCCTCCTTCTGGCCCCTCCTCCCCCTCCTCCCCCCCGGCGACAACGACGACCAAGACGGCGACTGCAACGGCGACGGCGACGGCCACGGCGACGGCGATTGCGACAGCGATGACGGCTACAAAGACAACGACGACGACGACGACGACGACGACGACGACGACGACGACGACGACGACGACGACGACGACGACGACGACGACGACGACGACGACGACGGCGGCGGCGGCGGCGGCGGCGGCGGCGGCGGCGGCGTCACCGCCGCCTAAGGCCGTCCAAAGGCCTCGTCGACTGGCCGCCCGTTGACGCGCCGCCCGAGGAGCCGCCCGCCACACGGGGCTCGCCGCGCGAGCAACCGCGCTCGGCGGCCCGCGGGGGGGCCTCGCCCGAGGGACCTCGCCGAGGGGACCGCCCGACAGGCCTCGCCGAGGGACCCGCCCCGAGGTGCCTCGCCGAGTGGCCTCGCCGAGGGGCCCGCCCGACGAGCCCGCCCGAAGGGCCCACCCGAGGGGCTGGCCGGGGAGAAGGCGCGAGCGCGCGGCTGGGGGCGGTCAGCCCCAGGGCCCTGGGGCCCTGCACGTCTCCAGCGGGCTCCGACGTCGCCCGTGTGCTCGGCGAGGCTGCGGCGGCGATCACCGGCAGTGTCCCACCCACCCCCGCCCTGGGCCATCCGCCTCCGCCGTCGCCCCCGAGGGCGGCCGAGGCGGCGGCCAGTGCCCCGATCGCGGCCCCGGCGCACAGCGCGGCCTGGCGGGAGGGGGCTCCACACAGGCTCCTTCTCCTCTTCCTAGTCCTCCTCCTCCTCCTGTTCCATTTCCTTGTCCTCCTCCTCCTCCTCCTCTTCCTCCTCCTCCTCCTCCTCCTCCTCCTCCTCCTCCTCCTCCGCCTCCTCCTCCTCCACCTTTTCCTCCTCGTCCTCCTCCTGCCCACCCCCTTTCATCTTCTCCATACGAGTAGCATCATCATTACAAATAACAATGGTATAAATAATAATGATAATAATAATAATAAGAATGATAATAATAACAATAAGAAGAAGAAGAAGAATAACAATAAGAATAAGAATAATAATAATACTAATAATACTAATGGTAATAACAACAACAACAACAATAATAATAGTGATAATAATAATAATGATAGTAGTAATGATAATAAGCATAAGAATAGGAATAGGAATGAAAATACTGAATAGTAATAGTAGTACTAAGGATTACAGACCATACTAACAAAAATAATAAGAATACGAGTGGGATGAAGAAGAAAAGTAGTAATAGTTTGTGCAGTGGTATCAGCATTCGTCGCATTGTGAATAACATTAATATTACGATGTTTGTGAATATTGATACTAATCCTGATATTACTACAATTAATCATAACAGAAATAACATTACTCGGAAAATTACGAATCCTAGTATTATGGTTATTAGCATGAATACTATTAGTAGTAATAGCAAAAATGATAAGACCATCTATATTAGCATTCTGAACACGATGTGTATTCAGATTACTAGTATGAACAGTACTCGTATTTGTTTCAAAGAATGTTAATATTAGTTTGAAGGAGAAGTTTGACAGTAGTGCTGCTAATGGTATTCTGATTACTAGTAGTCCCATCATTCGTCTTAATATTAATATTACGATTAGCTATAGCATTGTCATTGTTATTCGTAGTAAATACCTTCTTATTACTGGTTCATGTTATTGTTATTGTTGTCCGCCGAAGCCTTGTGGGTCTCTACGCGCATGAGATAGATCCCCCCTTAATCCCCCCCGGGACCCCAAACCGGAGATTTGCACACACACACACACACACACACACACACACACCGGCCACGCCTGACCCCGGACCGAACGCGCCACGGGCGGGCAGAAGACCCTAAAACAAGCCAACAGGGCACCCGGACACCCCCAAAACGGTCCAAGAGGCCTCCAAGACGCCCCAAGAGGCCGCCGACACGCCCCAAAAAGCCTCCCAGAGGCCCCAAGAGGCCTCCAAGACGCCCCAAGAGGCCTCCAAGACGCCCCAATCGACTTCCAACAGGCCTCCAAAGAGGGCCCCAACTGGCCAAAATCGTTGATATTCATTGTTTGTTTCAATGTGTTTCGCTTTCTCGCCTTTTCAGCTTCCCGACGCTCCAAGACCGCCCACCAGGCCCCCAAGACCGCTCCAAGACGGCGCAGGAGGCCCCCACGACGCCCCAAAAACGGCCCAAGAGGGCCGCCTGACGGCTCAAGAGCCGCCCAAGACGGCCCAAGAAGCGCCCGAGACGAACCGAAACATCCGGCATCCCGCCCCAAGAAGCCTCCAGGAAGCCCGAAGAGGCCCCAAAAAGACCCAAAGAACCCCCCAAGAAGCCTCCAAAACGCCCCAAGAGGCTCCCAAGACGCCTCCAAGAAAGACCCCGGGAGCCTTCCGAACTGTTTCCAGAAAGCCCGCGACCGGCCTCCCCGCAAGATCCCCGCAGACATCCCCCAACGCACCGGCTGATCGACTCGCGCCCAAACGCGGCAACGAGCAGGGCCCCCGGAGGCGAGGCTTTCTCTCCAGTCTCCTCCGTCGCACATCCCGAAAGCCCACCAGAAATCGAACTACTGGCCCGCACACCTGAGCGTGACTCCTCCTCCTCCTCCTCCTCCTCCTCCTCTCCTCCTCCTCCTCCTCCTCCTCCTCCTCCCCCTCCTCCACCTCCTCCTCCTCCTCCTCCTGCTCCCCCTCCTCCTCCTCCTCCTCCTCCTCCTCCTCCTCCCTCCTCCTCCTCCTCCTCCTCCTCCTCCTCCTCCTCTTCTCCCTCCTCCGTTCAACCCCTTTCCGCCTCTCACCCATCCTCCCCCATCCTCTTCCTCCCCCTCCACTTTCTCCATCGCCGTTTCCCCTTTTCATCGGCTTCGTCTTCCCTCTCGCTCTCACCCACGCTGGTCCTACTTCAACGGTATCATTTGCATGCCTTGCATTTCAGGGTGCTTTTCTTCTCCTCACGCGCGACGTGGCTACTGTCCACGGAGAAGGCCGACTTCGGCAATTTGTTCTGGCACTTGCCACAACATTGGGAGGCTTGCCAACTGCGCGCCGTGAACCCGTCGGCAATGCGATCTGCGCATGCAACTTTGCTCTTCCTCGTGAAGTGCTCACTCTATTGTTCGCCGCTGGCGTGCTGCTGCCGAGCGAACTCCTTCTTGCACGATGCAAAAGTCAACAGTCGTTTCAACCGCTTCGTCTCCTCGACTACCCCCTTCGCGGTCTCGCCGCGTTTGATACAGTCCTCGCACACCGTTTTGTCTCCCCTCGCCCGATGATGCTTCACCTGGTCTCGACTCAAACGGCCTGTCTCCCGAAAACTCACCCCGCATCCTGGCGCGCAGCACTTCAACGGCTTCGCCTCTGCCTCCGCCTTGCGCTTATTATTATGGGACTCGCGCGTCGACCTCTCACGTTCTTCCGCGCATTTCCGACACAGCCGCGCTGCCGCTGCATTGCCCTTCTTCGGTGCATCCGACACTTCCGCCTGCTCATCAAACAGTTCCAGGCACGTCTGGTTCGAACATCGCACTCTTAATATGCTGCCCTTCCACTTCGCGTCGGTCGCGAGCGACTTTTGTTTTGCCTTGACATCGGTGCGCTTGGCACAGTACAAAGTCCGAATATTCTTCGCCTCCTCCCCGTCGCCACTACCTCCCGTCGCCGCCCCTCCGGGCGCACCCGTCGCCCTCCGCTTTTGCAGCCCATGCGTTGCACGTTTTGCACCATTTCTCGCCCCGGATCTTCATCTCGGCGGTGCACCCCTCACAGAAGGCCGGCCTCTCCCACCGCTGAAACTCGCACTTCGCGAACGCCTCAACCAGCAGCCTACGTCGACATCGCTCGCACTGGTCTCGCGGCATCAACTTCTCCCCCCACTCATCCCAATCCATACTCTCCCCTCGTAGCACCTGCAACAACGACTGAGCGCCCAGCATCCCCCCTTCGTTGAACGGCTTCCTATCGAAAGGCCTGAAGAACAGTAAATTCCCCCGCCTCCGCACCCGCGCAATGGCGACGCAACTGGACATCCAACTCACGCCGCGCCCGCCCTCCAGATCCGCAACAACTGCGGCCATTGTCCGTCCCTGCGCGGCGCGCGCCGTCACTGCCAACGCCGGCGCAATCATAAACTGCGTTCGCTTCACGCCCAACACTGGGTGCTCCCGATACCCGCCCAAAAACCACAGCCGCCCCTTTGATGGAAAAATTGGATACAGTCGCAGCTCCCAACCTGGCAAGCGCCATTCCTTCGCGTGGAAGTCTAAAACGATGACTCCTGGCAAGGGCAACAATATTTCCTCTTCGTCGTCTCCCACGACTTCGTCCTCGCGCAATACCCGCCCATGAATCGTCGCTGCGCGCCCCCGCAGCAGCTGCTGTCTCGACCTATCCAAGTGATCTCCTAACGCCGCGGGCACGCCGTTCGCCAACGGCAGCCGCCCGGGCAAGCTTGCGCACTCCTTTTCGTGATAACCTAGCCACCGTGTCTCGTCTTCCACAGTGCACGGCCGTCTCTGTTCCCCCCCATGGCACGGGCGATCTCTCGCCGCCACCCATAGGAGCTGCTCTCCTCGATCCTTCGCCCACCGCACAGCTCTCTGTGTCCCCACGTGGCGCCGAATGTCCTGAATGGCACAGATCACAACGGCTTCCACGAATCTCTCCCAGAAATCGTGCGCCCCCCGGATATGTCGCAACGAGTTCCCCCCTCTCTCGCTCAGCCTTGCAAACCGCGCACTCCAGGTCGTTATTTGTTGGTAAGTTCCTGCGCGTTTGCTCGACACTGCGTGTTTCAGCACTGCGATGCGCCGTTCACCCACGACCCGGGCACGTCCGTCGGCCGCCCACGAAAGAAAATCGCGCGTTCTCCCCGTCAACGTGCCTCGACGAAACTCGTCTTGCACCCCAAGGAAGCACTCGACTCGGTCCTCCACGCGCTTGCATTCAGTCAGCTCCGTCATTCCCTGTACTGCCCCTTCGCCTCCTACTCCCCAGAAGATGCGCTGCCCGCGGCCCCCCGCGACACCCGGCGCGCACTTCCCGGCATTCTTCAGATAGGACGCCGGCAGCGCATTGACGGCTGTTCCCGACGGCGGCTCCAGCTGATAGAAATCTCCGATGAACAACACGTGCACGCCTCCGAACGGCCTATCCACGATGTCGGCCCCAACCTCCCGGTCGCTGACTGCTGACATGTACGACCGCAGATGCGAATCGAGTTCTGCAAGGAAGTTCGCGCTCACCATGCTCACCTCGTCAACTATCAGCCACTTCCTGCGCCATCCGCTGCGCGGCCATTTCCTTTTTCTGTTTATCGTTCCCTTCTGCGTCTCCATCGCCCCCCGAGCTCGGGCTTGTCTCATTCACGACCATGCCAAATTCAATGCGAACCGCGCCCCCGCCCAGGGCTGACGCGCTTGTGGCCTGCAACGCTGTTGCCTGCAATACAATGCCGCGCGCCCACCCCATCTCCTTCTCGAAAAGCTGTTCCCGCATCTTGCCCATAACGAAGCCCCCCCCCCCCTTCCAGGACCGCCGCGCAGCACCCACAGGAGAAGCTCGTTGCCCGCACTTTTCTGGACGGCCTTCTTTCCACCTGCTGCCTTGGACAATTCCTGCGCCAGAACCCGATCGGCCACCTTCTCCACGATACTACGTGGACCAGCATTCAGCCCCCCACCCACAAGCCCATGCTTCCACCAGCGCACGCTCGCTGCCGTTGCTC